CCCTAGAATTATTGCTCTCACTCTGGTGTGCACGGCGATACCCAACATGTGTAGCGTTATCGACTTTTCCGTACGGAGGCGCACCCAATGTGTTTGTGTGAGTGCAGTGTGCGGGGGAGGGTGACTTAATTTTTTTTTGCTACATTTTTTTAAAATTATATATTACTTTTTAAAACTTTTTTTTTTTACTTTAAGGCCCAGTTCACACCTGAGCGTGTTTGCTTGTATCTAAACAGACATCGCTGGCTGTTTTAAAATGATACCAAGAACACGGATGCAGCAGTTGGTAAAACCGCTTCAGGACCAGAGCGTATTTTGACAGTGGGCGGTCCTGAAGCGGTTAAGGGAAAATGGGAATTAAAAAAAGGCCCTAAGGCTGCACAGCAGCTAACATTTATACATCATTTTATGCAAATTGGGGCTTATACAATGTATGACATACTTACAATATTAGGTCTAAAAAAATAAATAAAAATAAAGCATGCACACAACTATTTTTAATTGTTCCTATGGACTAGTGGTAGCTCCAGTTTCTGGTTCTGAGTGGATCTTAACAAAATTATGGAAGCACTAGCAGCAGTTTTACAAGAAATCAATTAAAACACTCTTCAAAATACTTACGCTCCTCTCCATTTAAAGGGTCATCTAACAGCAAGCTGTTCATACACTCCCAATCCTTAAGCAATTCTGTGGCACAGTCCCACATGCTGTCTACAAGGTACGCAGCATGTTCATGCAACTGAAAAGCGAGAAAAACATACAAGTTCAATCACAGAAAAAAAGACCTGGTTGATGTGTTGACACAGAAGGCACAAAACATCTAAAAGCATGCATATTGCAAAGGAAAAAAGAAATGTAAAATGCATTTAAAAATAAGACTAAGACCCCTCAACACAGCAAAGGGGGTTCCCAGCCATGAGGTATTAGGCAATGCTTCACTGCAGCTTCTGAATTTTAGCTATGGCTGAGATCTGCGAGAAGCAGAAGCACTGAATGATGCTATTGCTGCATCAGACAACCAGTGACTAAATCTCACACAGAACCCACCCTTGGCCATGGCTAGAACCCTTGACTAAAAGGTAACATACATGCAGATAGAAGTGCACTTCCAATGTCTGCCTAAAGCTCAAAGATTTAAAAAAAAAAATCCATTCCACTTCCAAACACATCTTTAGACACCTGTGAAATTGACCTAGCTGGGCCTCAAATTCAATTTGAGAACAGCCAAGGAGCAAGAAGTTTGCTGGAAAGGGTAAGTACCTGCAAAAATCGAGTGCTCCTTCACACAGGATAATAGTATTTTCATTAGGGAATTATTAATGTGCAAACAGATAAAGTATATTGATTGAAATAGTTTCTTTAACATCTAGCAAATAAGACTACAAGACTGGGTGGCATAGAAGCAGAGCTGTGATAAATACATTACCTCACTCTCTAAAAAGAAAAAGACTAATGTCTTGACAAGATTGGCATTTGGGCTAAGCCTTCCCCTTCGTTTTAAGATCCCATCATCTTCAGGCTCCCGACAGCTGAACAATCTAGAAAATGTAAATAAATATTCTGATATTCACAACAACTCTTCGAATATTTTTTAATGAGCATTCACAAATCACATTACATGACTATATTCAGCTCCTATTTCAGTGCACAAAGAACGTAAATAGGGCTTACTTCTAAAAACAAATATGGAAACAACATGCTGAAGTTATTTGCTAGTAACATTTTTAAGGTTACTTTCGCAATAGTTCAGAAAAGGTGAAATATCCTTATAAATACATTTGCTGCTTATAATGTGAACAAGCTGCCTAGATCTTGTCTGTCATTTCAGCAAAAAATTAAGTCCATAACTTACTTTTTGTACAGAAATTCCCCTGCTGCAACAGCTACTGGTCGGTGCGCAGAATACACCAGATGGTAAACGTTTTCACAGTCCTCAGCAGTAAGAACTTCATCGCTACTTCTACAAAAAATGCAGAAAGGTAGTCCATGTATTAAACAATCAATGAAGAACTTCTAAAACTACTCTAAGGAAAATAACAACTTTTTAAAAACGCCACACTGTGTAATACATATAGAAGATAACGAGACTAATGAAACTTAAATACGACAAAAAGGACAGGAATATGGGAGTTGCCACTGATGATTTGCATTTAGAACACAAACTTGCTATTCTTTACTGAGATGCAAGTAAAGTAGCTCTAAGTACTGTGTCAAGTACATAATAACATCCCGGGACAATACTCGCAACATATACCTCTTCCAATCAATCCCATAAAATTGGTCAATTTCATATCCATTAACCCCTTCATGACTGAGGCCCTTTTTTCCATT